TTTTTGAAAATTAATCAATAGATGAAATGGAAGTAATTTTAACTTTGTTGTTTCCCAGTTTTTCTCCAGCACACATTCAACCTAGATTTTGTTGGCAGTGATCTTACTTTCAATGCCATTGAAAACTCATCTGCTTTAAAAATCTGTTTTTGTTGGGAAGACAAAGTCAGTAAATTAGAAGTGTTGCTATTATCTTGGGACCTGATTCTGTCAACATTTATGCAGGTGCCTAATTAATTCATATAGTTAGACTGAGAAATGTTAATGGGTTACATTTTTAGTCTTAAGTGTATGCATAACTGTTTTCAAGACCACAGCTCAAACTAAGAAACCAATATTTAATTTTTCCCCAAAGTATTGATTTTCTTCTGAATCTGAAATTCATAGCCGATCTCTCTGTATGTAATAAATGAATCCTCCTCTCTCTGATGCATGTACGAGTTTCAACTTGAGATAGAGATTTTATGCCTTTGCCTGAATTTTGCTTGTAGCTATTTCACTGTTGGCATAAGAATATTTCTTTGCACAGTAAATGACAGATAAGGAAGACTGGCGGTTTTGCGGGTGCAAATGAGTTAGGTATTTCCCCATACATCGTTGTCTTGGACCTCCTCAAGTGTGGCCCAATAACCTTAACTGGAGAATAATACAGTTCTGAACTCAATTTCCAAAACCTTTACTGGCAACACTTGCTTAGAGAAACTATAATAGCATCTTATTAGTTTAAGACTTTTTTGCTTGCTTGTCTAATAAAAAATAAGCACTGATGTAAAAATGCAATTGGCAAGCAAGCAATTCATAATATAGTTTAATATCTATTTCCATTTTGAAACAGTAGGTAACGTTCATGTGTAAAAACATAAATTAAGAACTAAACTGTAGCCAGGTCTGCAAGGTCAAAATTGTTGAAAGAAGCTTTCGCACCCAACGGGCAGTCCCATGTGGCCAAAAATTAGTACCTCATGTTCACCAAAATGAATAAAATGTACTTTTCCATCTCCTCCCGATGGCCTGATCCTTATGAATCTACTACTGCTGCTGCTTGAATGAATTAATGGAGTCAGGACTGTTGGCATCTTTCCAGTGGCATAGTGAGAAAAATGACCTATGGGGCTTCAGTCTGGAAGATTATTGCTGTAAGGCTTCAGTGACGGAACTGAAGGACTTTAAAAATGTAGATAGAAGGGGAAGAAATCCCATACAGAGAGAATATAGAAAAATATGGAAAAGTCTGTCATCCTTTAACAATTGAGCTCTGCTTTGACCTCTACCTATTTGTTTTTCTTGTACATCCATTTCAAGAAAAGTGTGGTTGTAAGTCCAATAACATTGTTTTAGTGAAGTAATGTAGGAGTTTGAAACATCTCTCAGAAATTAAATGTTTATTTCTGGTGAGGAGTGTTTCTTACTGTAGCACATTTTGCAGGATCTGGTGCTGAACAAAGACCCTATAGCTGCCTATTAAATACTTTGACAACAATTTCCATGATACCAGGGGGAGTTCTGATTTAGCAAGTAAATAATCTCTTAAAATATTTAACTTCTATATCTCTCATGTACATCTCTGTGCCTAAAACTACAACTTCAGAGGGTCTGCTTGTGACCAGACTAGCATAACAAATACAGCATTTATCCCTGCCCACTTTTCCTGTGTGCTTTCATATTCATAGGTCAAGTAAAAAAAAAAAAAAAAGGAGAACAATAATTGTACTCCAAATATAATGTTTAGATGTTAAATGTAAATTACAATATATATTGCAAGAAGAGAATTTAATTGCAATGGTCAACTAAACCAAGCACCTTTATCTTTTTTTTGGAAAAAAATCTGAAATCTGTTAGGCTGTGAACAATTTCCTTGAGGAGTTGGTAGAAGTTCCTTCATTTGAGTATTTTAAACATGATTAAGAAATAGCTTTTAGATAAAGAGTATAGAAGCATTTATGTTATTTAGACTAATTTGTGTTATAGAAACATAGAAATACACGTCTGGATACAACCACAAAATATGGGGTTTTTTTTAAAAAAAAAAAGAAGCCAAACATTTTCACATCTTATACTCGCGCGACAAAAATCTCTGACAAGTACTTAAAAATTGAGCATGGTTCTCCAATAGGGCTTCACCATGCAACTTCACAGTATCTTCTCTCAATTCTTTTTTATATATTGTAATAATTCTAGGTTGACCTTTGTCATTTTTCACAATAGAATCACATTGTTAGACACATTGCAAAAATCCATTTGACTTATCTTTCTGGTTTGACAATGTATCACAGGCAATTACACCTTGAGATGCTTTTCCTCATGAGTTCCATGTCCACCTTATAGTAATTTAATTTACATTTCCCTTGTTTTGCTTCTAAGGATGTCATGTGTGGCCATGTCAAAAATCTTACCAAAGTCAAGCTGTATCACATCTACTGCTTCTCCCGACCCACTCGTTAGCTGTCCTGCCAAGGAAAATATTGTAATAGCTTGATGCAACCTATTTTGACAAATCTGTTGCCTTTCCAACATCTGCTCATTATTTACAAGATAATTAAACATTAATTGCTTTACATCATGTTTCATTTTCTTTCTGGGTACTGAAATTAGGCTGAATGTCCTAGAATTCTTCCTTCTTTTCTTCTCTACTCTTATATAAATAGATAAGTGCTGCTTCTTCTAAATCCCTGGAATTTTCACTATTATTGTTTTTCTTGCATTCTCAAAAATGGTTTAAAATTGCTTTGATTACTTTTTTAAGAACTGCAGGGTAAATTTCATTATGCTCTGTTAACTTGAAGATATATTTAATAGATACGTTTCTTAATGTTTATGTAGATGTTCTGCAAACTGCCCTTTCCTAATTCAGATCTGTTGCACTTGCTATTAATTACATTAAATACCTGACTACCTCTGCTATTTAGGAGATTCTAGACAGAAATGCCTTCTTTTCTGTTGCCTTTTTTGCATCTCTAGCTTTACTTTTTTCATCCCCATAACCCTAAATATTTTTTCTTTTATTCTTTATGTTTACCTGTTTTCATTGTATCTTAATAATTGCTTTTTGCTTTTCAGGCTAAAGGCTTCCTTATGCAATCACATTAGTCTCCTACTACACTTTCAAGTGTTCCATTAATTAAGATAATTGAATATAAGCATTTATTAATACTCCTTCCAAAACTTCCAGCATTCTCAAACTCCTTTTCTACTTAAAAGGTTTCTCCTCTACCTAGCAATGTTTTGTTAATGTTTACTTTCTTAAGTCTGTTGTTGCTGTCACTTTTTCCTGTTTTCTCCAGTATATCCCAAGCACTTTTTGAACATTATCTGCGTGAAAGATACAATTCTATTTTTTCACCTGTGTACACGAACAAACATATATATATATATATGTTTGTATACATATAGGCAGAATAAACACGATTTGAATAGATATTCCCCTTTAAAGGATTCCCCTTTAACATCCAGTGAGTAATACTTAAACACAAGAAACAGAAAGGTTGAGCTTGTAGTTGCTGCCAGTTGTTCTTCAAAATGTAAATAATACAGTATAGTAATACAATTGAATAATGTTTTTCTGTGTTTTTCCTTTAAATCAGATAGTAAGAAAGATGACTAAAACATAGGTTTCATTATGAGTAAAATATATTTAAGGACCTTCAGCCAAGAAGAAAACGTGGTTTCCTGCCACAGTGAAAGTTCACTTCCTAGGAAAGACTGTCACGGCTCTTGATGAAAATGACACTGGAAATTCCCCTTCGTATTCATCAGTCGGGATCAGGCTACCAAAAACTGTATTTAAAAATGAGGTCTAGGGAAAAAATTATAAAGAAAAATAATATTATAACAAAAAGGCAACCACCTAAGTTAGGAATCGTCTTTTCCTCTTCTTCCAATTATAGTGCCAAAATAATGAAGCCAATGGTACGTGATTTGGATACCTAGATGCTAGAAGAAGGCAAATAATAAAAATGATGCAAATATAATTAAAATATGGCTATCTAAAAATCTTAAGCTTGACCTAAGTTCCTTAAATTTGTAAGAATTAATCCCAGCGGACTTTGTATCCACATTTCTAACGAAGCATTGATTCTAATTGTCCTGTAATATATGAGAGCCCAGTCCTCCAATATTATAGTTAAAATATTGAATAGGAGTAACTAACTACAGGGGTATAAGTGCGTTATGATTAGTGAGACCTGATGTTCACATCCTGTTTGTAGGATTTGGGTTTAAGGTGTTAGAGGACTGATTTCGCAAACATTTATGTTTCTGCATATGAGATATGCAGAAAGTGATTATAGCTTCAAAGGAATCCTGTATAAAGTTTGAAGAAAAGCCTCTGGTTACTTCAAGGCATGCCTTTAAACTATTTACATAAGTAAATAATTGCTTTAAGATATATGTTCAAAAAGCTCATACCACGGTTTATAATACCCTTAGCTAATACCTATGGCTATTTTTTGTTATATACATGATGACAGTGAAGAAACAGAATGTCCATTTACATGCCTTCACAAAAGTAATTTGCTAGATTTTGCATTCCAAACATGTTTTGTCCCTTATATGATTATTTTTATTCAATATGAGCTAGACTGGAGTTAGTTATCTAAATTAGTAGGCATAATGGTTACATTTTGCTTTGATCATTTGGTATAAATATGTACTGCGTTCGTTCCAAGTTGTAAAGGTTTTAAATATACTTTGCTGATAGCTCAGATAGCTTGCAGTCTTTTAAAAGTTAGTAAATCACACTTTTTAAAGGAAGTTTTACAGTCTTTGTTGTGCGATTGGAGGAGAGAATACGAAGATGGCTATTTTCATGCTGTCAGAAAACGTGCCAGAGCTCTGCATGTGTCGAATTGGTATAAACCACACGCCATGAGCCTTCCTGGGTCTTGAAATTGTAATAACAGTATGTACCATGTCTATGGGAAAGTATTTATGCCCAAGGGCAGGGGAAAATGTTCACAAAAGAAGGTGTCTAATCTTACTGCCTTTCATTTTGTTTAATCTAGTTATGCCACGTTTTGCTGAACAAGTTGAGGTTGCCATTGAAGCTTTGAGCGCGAATGTCCCACAGCCATTTGAAGAGAATGAGTTCATAGATGCCTCCCGCTTGGTTTATGATGGAGTTCGTGACATCAGGAAAGCTGTTCTGATGATAAGGGTATGTAAGGCACCTGGGAAATAAAAGTTGGGACCTACGGGAAAGTATCACATTGGATGAAAGGAATGTAAAAGCTTCTTGGAATCAACTTTGTGTCATAATAAGCCAGAAAAGCTTGACATTGAAACAAGCGTGAAACAAAAGTATGTGGAGCAAAAAAGAATTTGTAAGTAAAGAGATGAGGGATTTTAGGGGATGAACCACAATTAATTTGTTAATCACCTAGGAGAGGAGTTGCTCACAACTGCCAATAGATGTAAACTTCATTACTGTTTCTGTAGTAACAGCATTAATTTGCTAAGATCTTCAAAGTTTGCATAGAATTTTTTGGGTTTTTTTTTTTTCTTCCTAATGTATGTGTGCTACCTAGGATATGAGATAAGTCTGGTTAAAATCTAAATGAATAAAGAAATAATCTTGCTGCTCCAGTGAGCCTCTGCAGGGATGGTTTTGAATGTTTACTGAGGTAAAGAATGTGTCATTTCAGCGTTGACTAACCAGTTGATTCAATTTGCTTAGGCATCTTCTAAAAAACCAACCAAATAAATAAAAAAACCCCACAGTACAACGTAATTATTGTTAGAGTAGATGTGTATCTTGCTTTTCAGTGTAGTCTACAGTCAAAGATTAATAAAAACCAAACAAACAACTGGTTTGGCCATCTCTTCAGCAATATAAACCCTTATTTGAAACCCAAATTACCTTGAATCTGCCCCAGTGAAAGCTACGTACAAATAAAGCTATGGTGGAAATCACAGAGAAAACTTAGGAAACAAATAACCACGCTAAAACAACTCATCCCTTTGAGCAAACGGGTAACGTACACTTGTGGTTGTGAGTACAGTACGGTGCTGATGTAAGACTACAGGCAGTTGGAGCGCTCCAAAATAGATTCATTTTAGTTATCTGTCGCTATGTATTAACATTTACACAAAAAGCTTTTGACAGACTTAATTTTATAACTGCAAAACATAAATTCCATTCCCTACCCAGTGCTGATCTCAGGTAGCCTGAATTATAATCACGGTTGATGATGGGGGCATAGCCGCCGCCCTGTTTTCTGGGTTTGCAACATTTTGGGGTATTTGCAACTCTTCTGGACTGGGCTGGAAGTGAAAGATCTGCATAGTAAAGGATCTCTGTTTTTCCTTTGATTACCCAGTTCCTTAGTCTGTAGCAGGAGTTTCCAAACTTCTGTCAGGACAAGGACCTCTTCTAAGCACATTTTAATCTTTTATAGTCTCTGATGAGTCACTTTAAATTGCTTCATGAGACATGATCATCAGGGGGGATCTGCTACAGCCCCATGCTTTCCCATCCCCTACGCAGAGTTCTGCCTTCCAGCACCCCCCTGTACATCAGAGCTGTCCCAGAGAGGTTGCCGTGAGACTGTCCGTGCTGGGTGAGATGTTTCTGCTAAGCACAAAGCACCATTTTAAATTCTGGAGGCACATTCACTTATTTCATTGCTGTCTTCCTGTTATTTTAACCACTAGCTTGGAAAGCTGATCAGCGTGCAAGCTTTGCAGTATCCTTAGAGGCATCCCAGGTTACTTTTGCAATCGTATCGCTACTACTTTCCTCTCCTTGTATGATATGAGTTAATGAGTTCTGGTTACCCAGACTAGGAAGACGTATTTTTGCATTCAGACAATTTACTTATTCATGGAGCTAAATGTAGTGCTCCTTACCCAGGCAGAGAACAAAGGACATAAATGGATTCATTATCCTCGTGAGTTAACTGGGAAAATCCACATATATAAACTTACACAGACCAGAGTTTGCTGAATCAGAACTTTGTTTTCTGTAGAAAACAAAATTAGTTTCAGTTTGAGACACTCTTCAGCATTCCCATCTGGACATCTCTCACTGAAATGGAATGTATAATTACAGGGTGAGCATTAAGCTATAAAAGACAGTCTTTAGAATATTTTTATCTAATAATCTATTAAATTTCATGCACACCTTTAATTCAGGCTGTAAAACTTCTTGCAGAATAATAATAATAAATAAATAAATAAAAGCCTTGAAAACTTTTTAGGGCATCTGACACAAGCAATTATTTTCAGGCAGTAATTGTTCATGTGCATACCATGAAAGATTGAATTTATCTGAGATGATTCCCTCATTCCATGGAGAAAATAAAGCCACTTTTAAAACTAATTTTTGTTGCTATTATTACTTCTAGTAAGCTGAAGGAAAGGGGGATAATATCTGTTCTTCTCTTTTCCCTTGAGAAAAGGAGGTTTTATTGTCCCTTTGGAGGAGAAAGGAGGCTCATTTTTGCGTTGGGGACTATTATTATGATTTATATAGAAGAAAAAAAAATCTCTTTCCCAACTTAAGTAGTAGTATAAATAAATTTAGGAGTATAATTATAGAACCTAAAAATAAGATAGAAAATAATAACTGAGTTCCAACATCTTTTATATTACTGCTTCGGGACCAAATTGCACTTTGTTTTTTTCATAGCTACTTATGAAATCCCCTCAGTTATTAGACAGAAACCCTCTCTACAGTTAAGAAGGATCACAATGGCACCGTTTCTCATTCTTGTCTCTGAGGCCAGCCTTCTCTTTTCACGTGTGGCCTTTGCCTTCGGAACCTCGCTGTTCGTTGCATCTATGTTAGCATTAGCGTTGCATTTGTTAGGATCAGGGGTGCACTTTTGGAGTCAATGTCCAGTTGTTCCTTCTTGCTGTATTTAAGTTCATGTTGTAGAGTACTCTTAGAGCATATAAACTTGATTCTTTTGGGTGATCCTGAAAGATGTGCTCTAGGTGTGCCTTAAATGCACTTCTATTAGTAAGGGACTTTCAGTCTATGGGAGCAGACTACAGTGAGCCTGAATAAACATGAAATGAGGGTAGTGCAAATGTGGGGTCCCTAGCACCAACTGCTTGGATATATGAATCCTCTTCTGCTCTTCCACACTTGTAAGCTTGGCCTTGATCACCTATGGGGTAGCCACCGGTGGTGACATCCGAAATGCTGCTACATCTCAGATCACAAAGTGCAGAATCCCGTTATCTTTTCAAATAGCCTATCTCCAAAGGGTGCTGTGGGGTTCCTTGTCTACATGGACTGTCCGTTGCTTCTTGGGTTGAATTTAAAATATTAGATTATACTGTAAATCATTAAACAGCTGAAGAAGACCTGCTGTCGAGAGGTTCTCTGCCTCTGTCCCTCAGCTGCTGCTTGCAGCACCTGAGTCACTCAGGCTGCAACTGCCTTTGTAAAAAAAACAAATGTACAGAATACTGTGGCATTGAATAAAAAAAGCATATTATAAAGGCTTTTTTTTCCTCCCTAGCTTTTAGAATTAGAGGGTATTTTCATGGCGGAAAATGAAGGAGTATCTTTTCAGTGTGGCTTTCTTGTTGCAAGGTTAGCTTGACTTGGTGTTTACAGCGCTGAAATTCTTATAATTGCATCTTAGAATTTTAAGTGCATACAGCACTATAGCATAGTGGGGTTTCTGTCTTCATCAAGTATATTTGAATTGGTGAATTATTAAACAAAAATAGCATTTATAAATCTGCATGTATATGCTATTTTACGACTTATACAAGCATAATTCACATTTTTATACTGCAGTTACAAAAGATAAAATTGTATCGATGGAAGATATTTTGTTTACAGCCAGATCTTCAGTCTAGCAGCCAGAGAGCCATTTAAAAAAAAAAAAAAAAAAAAAAAAATTCCAATGACTGGAAGCTGAAAGTCACCAAATTCATATTAGAAATAAAACATGCATCTTAAAATAGAAAGTATATATATACTGGGTGATTTATCCAGGATTGTGAAAGATTCTTCTCCATGGTGGTAGAATTCATCTGAATTAGATGAATGAAGTGAAGAATATGCTCTATGTATAGCAGAGATACTGTATTTGAAAAAAAAAAATTAGTCCTGGGAAGTCTTATGGCCTGTGCTGCAGAACAGACAGACTAAGAACTATGAAAATGGTCCGTTTTTCTGCTGAAATCAATGAGTTAATAAAATCTGATAGTTTTGATGATTACTCTAGTTCCTCCTGCCACTGGTGGTTGTCAGAGTTTTGTTTGGAAGCTGTCTCCCATCTCAAATCCATGTTTCCTACGTCTTTGTAACCATAGGCTCAGGTATCTGCAAGACTGATTCAGTCCTTCTGTCTTCCAACTCCGATAAATTAAGTTCCAGACTTTGTTGTCTTGGAAACTAGGTTTTAAATACCAAGGTCCTGTTAGTTGTGCACAAAAATTAGTGTTGTTAAGATAGGTTTAGAAGGCCCTGCTAAGGTTAAAAGTCTTTAAGTAAAGGTACTTCAATATAATGTTTCTTTTTTTATACCTTTGTGCCTAAACAAGCAGGAGACCCTATTATATATGGGCTGCATCTTCAAGAGATCAGATAAAACAAAGCAATGGTGAAAAGCATGTGACATGTCTGAAATGGCAGCATACAGATAGCACGGAGCTACTGTTCTTCATCTGAATGAAAAATGTAGCTATTTTTGGAAGTAAATGAGGGTGTTAAATTCACCACACTTGGAAACCTTAAGAGAGTGAATCTGAAAGTTCGTTTTGAATTAGATCTCAGTTGTACAGAGGGGCAAACCCCGACATTCCTTGTGCTTGTAGTATATTAATAACAGTTGCATTTACTTGTCCTTTTGGTTTGCACTACGTTTTCTCCAAGTTCAACATCGATACCCATTAAGTTTCAATCTTTTAAAGACCACAAATTTTAAGATGATGAATGTCAGGCAGTAACAGCAATGTGGTTTTTCTGAATGTTTCTTTGAGAATAAATCCCCGAAACAGAGAATTTTCAGCTTATTTTAGCTTTTTAAGAGGCATCCTCATGTCCTTACTGGTTACAGTGTTGAGTCGTAATATTTTGAACATTACGCCCTTACTTTATCACAACTCTGAGTATGAAAGCCTGAGGAGGGGCTGCGCATTATCTTTTATAGTCGTCTTATAAAAGTGGAAACAGAAGAAACTAAGAACAGTGTACTTGGCAGGGAAAAGGGTGCTGGTTTTACAATGATCAGTGCAACTGGCTAGTTGAATTGATTTGGAGGATGGGGAAGAGCCAGCTGGTTTATGAAGAAGCGGTTGAAACTCTCCACCCTCTTCCTGTTCTTCACAGTAAAGCCTAGGCAGATGAAAAGCTGAGCCCTGTGATAGGAAATACTCTCTTTTGCTCAGGGAGTTGTATGGTTCTCTTAGTAGCTGGTCCGCTTATGGCAGATTTTAAAGTCCTATCCTGCCCTCAAGCAGCTGAGCAGAGAGAATAAAGTGATTAAAAGTGATTGGAAAGCAAGACCACTGGACATCATAATGATGGATACCTATCTTTTTTTTTTTTTTTTTTCCTGTGGCAGAAGAGAAAAGACAAATTCATTTTTCCACATAAACTTCATCCCCTGTCCATCCTGTTATAAACACTATTTGTACCTGCCTCTCTCCAGAGCTGCAGCCTGAGTTTCGTTACCATACTGTCATACTTGGTTATTTCTTCCTCCAGCACTCAGCATCAAAACACGTATTTAATTCATATTCTTTAAGCCAAATGACGATGGCTGTGTTTTACTCTCCCCATCATGTGCACTTCACCATGTAGCTAGCGAAGCAGCTGATTTTCTGTTACAAACAGTGATGTGCACTTCATGTTGGAAACCAGGCTGTAATATAAATACCGCCAAAAGACTTCTCTACATTATGTTAGAGGGTTTGGACCAGTTCCTAGTGACTGAGCATCTTCAAGACAGAGCTGTAATGACAACTGGCAATGATTAGCACCTCTGCTAGCAAACTTGACGTTGCCTCCAAGCATGAAATGCCAGCATGGATGATTTCTTCTGTAATGGTTGGCCCTCTAGGTTAACACTGAGGCGTGTGGGTATCCAGTAAGGTGAGGGTTTCTCTGCACAGTTACTGTGAACTTCTTTTTCTGTTACCGCTATAATGTATTGTACCTATATTGTACCTATTGTACTCTAAGTTACTTGGGGCACGTTGTTGTACTAGATGCTATTCAAGCACAAAATGCAATATAATTTTCCTTCTAAAAACTATTTCTTTTCTTGCACCATCTATATTAAATACAGTACTAAATAGCCATTTAAAGTAGGCTGTCTCTCCGTATATACATATGGATTTTTTTTTTCTCCTAATTTTTTTGCTAGAAGGTGAAAATAACAGATAAACAAATCCATCAGTTCTCTTTTTTCTCTCTCCCTCCAACACTTTAAAGAACCTGAAGCCAGCACATACATAACTGGATTTAATCGATCTGCCCAGAGACCCTCACACCATTTGTAGCACCAGCAGTGGAGATAACATGGTTTCGGTTTAGGGGATGAGGCACATTTCAAAGCTCTGTATCTGAAAAGAACCGTGTGAACCAACAAGCTAAAGCAGATTATAAACTTTACATTTGTTTCAAAACCAGCTGGCATCATTTAAGTTTTCTTTCAAGGGGAAATCTCTTATTTGCTTTGCTATTTTTTTCTTAAAATATACAGTTTGGTTCAAGGTGACTGACACTTTACTTTCCTTTTGAAGATTACATGGAGATTCCAGTAGTATAATAGTGTCCATTTATATATGATATAACATTATTTTGAAGTACTGCACTCTGTTTGTTAGTGCTTCCAAAGGACATTTGTTCCTGGAACTGCATTCATCGTGTTAACAGAGTTAAGAAAAGTTGCAGCAAGGTAATGATAAATGCCATTTGTAAAGAAAGCTAGAGCTGAAACAACTTAATTTTTAAGACAATTCAATTTCAGTTCTTGACTGCTTGGGCAGACAAGTTAATTTAAAAGGAAAGAGAAACAGCATTTCCTGGGCAGGTAGTCGATGAAATAAGAGCTTACTGTACATAGGACTTTGTCTGTATCCTTATAAGCTTGTCATCTCCTCTTTTGCTTTCTCTCCCTGTCTCTCTCTCTCTCCAGACCCCTGAAGAGCTAGAGGATGATTCAGACTTTGAGCAGGAAGATTATGATGTTCGCAGCCGAACAAGTGTTCAGACTGAAGATGACCAGCTTATTGCTGGCCAGAGTGCAAGGGTGAGTATAAACCCCACGTTAGTACATTAAGTGTCTGTAAAGCTGCAAATAAAAAGCTATGCCTCAGAAAGCAAATGCAGTGATTTCAAATCGCCAGGCTCGCTTAAGAAAGGAAGGGAGTAAATTGACCTAGGTGTTTAAAGTTTTTTTCATGTCTCACCTATTTGAAAAGCACTGGCCTGATTGAATGATCTTCCTTAGGCTTATGTGATGCCTTGTATCAGCCATTTGGCCCAGCTAGAGCTGTAGGAGAAGGCCTTGCAGGTTTGGAATGTGCTGAAACCGTGGGAGTAGTCAGCAAAATTTAAAAAAAAAACAAAAAAAAAACAACAAAAAAAACCCCCAACAAAACAAAATAAAATCACCACCATCAGGACACCATGTGCTGTATGCAGAGAAATCTTATATTAGTCATGTTTCCCCAGTGTGCAAACCTGTCAAGAAGATCTGTTTAAGCTACTGAGTAGTCCCTGTAATTTAATTGTAATTGAAGACATTTGTTACTGAGTCAATGTAATTTTACCAGGGTAATTACATCATGATAAACTCGAGTCGTTGTAATTTGTGACCTCAGCTTGTGCATGGGGATTGCAAATTAAGCTGATGAGTGCTTCAGGGGTCACAGGTGCCAGAGAATTGAAGTTTGTTAACACTCAGGATTATGCCACCCTCTGATGAATGTTTCCCTTTTACTAAATAGGCTGCTCAGCTCAGATTATAAAAAAAAAAAAAAAAAAAAATCAGAATATAATTTGGGGGGCAAAGACATCATTAAATATATATTTGACTGGAAAGAGAGTTAAAAAAAAGCCTTAAAGTTTTCCAGTAGAGAACCACTGGGGAATGGGGAATTACCTGAATGATTTTCGTGGCTGTTTTGCACCGGTCTGAGGTTTCTTCTGATAAGTGCTAAAGGAGAAGTAATGGACTAAAAGAGAAGCGTCCTCCACACATACACTCAAGCACTGTAGCAAGAGCTGGTAACTGGAATGGTGACTTCTTACCTTGCATTCTGGAACAGAATTTGTAGGGCTGACAACCTAAAGACCAAAAAGCAATGATGCTTTAAAGATCAATTCAGAGGACGAGGAAAGAGGGGGTTTCAGCTGCTGTAGGAAGACCTACAGTATGTCAGGGCTTGCTTGAGACAAACATTTTACACTCTGAAAAGAAACACTGGACTAATGCAAACCTTAATGAAGCTCACTTAGAGGTGGGATGGGACACCTAGATACAGTGGAATGCGCAGAGGTTTCTTTTTTGTCTTAAATTAATTTCCCTGAATACTGAATATAGATGGTAAATAAAACATACCGTGTATCAGAAAAGCTGGGTTTCTATCACTACATCCCAAGGACAAAAAATGTTGTTCTTGCCTGTCAAAGGACATGTTATATTTATATCTTTATCACCTAGTTGAAGGGCAGATGGATTGTAGATCCCATCCCAGAGACGTGGGTACCCAGGAACGGCATTGAAAACCATGCAGAGCGATACCTGGATAGCTTACCCTGGGAACAATGACAGAACTATTTTCTGGATGCAGTTCACAGAATCATAGAATCGCTTAGGTTGGAAAAGACCTTTAAGATCATCAAGCCCAACCGTTCCCCTAGCCCTGCCATCCCACCATTAAACCCTGTCCCTAAGCACCTTGTCTGTCTGGCTCTTCACTCCCCTCCGGGAAGGGGACTCGACCCCTTCCCTGGGCAGCCCCTTCCAGTGCATCACAGCCCTTTCATTGAAAAATTTTTTCCTAATGTCCAACTTAAACCTGCCTTTCACAACTTCAGACCATTTCCCCTCATCCTATTGCCCATTACCCGGGAGAAGAGACCGACCCCCACCTCACTACAGCCTTCTGTCAGGCAGTTGTAGAGGACAGTAAGGTCTCCCCTCAGCCTCCTCCTCTCCAGACTAAACACCCCCAGTTCCCTCAGCTGCTCCTTGTTAACACTTGTGCTCCAGACCCCTCCCCAGCTGTGTTGCTCTCCTCTGGACATGTCCTAGCAACACAACGTCTTTCTTGTATGAGGGGCCCAAAACTGAATGCAGTATTCGAGGGCGGCCTCACCAGTGTGGAATACAGGGGCATGATCACTTCCCTACTCCTGCTGGCCACACCATTCCTGATACAATTATCTTTGGGGGATTTTTATATTTTAAAGAGCATGTAGTCCTGTTTGATATTCAATGAATTGACTGCTAAAGTAAGTCTCAGGTACAAAAGGATTGAGATACAGTACAGTTATTTCAGTTTTTTTTTTTTGTTGTTGTTGCATCTAGGATTGGGTAGCATATCATCCTTTCTTGATCTGAACACCAAGTAAAGACCGCAGTAATATTTTTACTAAGAATCTAGTTCACCTAGGGACTTAGGAGTCTTAAATTCTATTACATTTATTGTGGTTATTATCACTGCTGCACTTAAAACCTTCTGCTTTGATCAGCCACACACTGTATAAACATAATATATTATAAAGACAGCCCCATTCCTGAATAACATAGAACGCAATATGTCACAAGAAGCAAGAAATGATGAAAAACTAAAATGAAAATGTGCTAAGCAGAAGCCGCCCAGTCCACAGTCTTGAGTGACTCATTGAAATGAGTCTGCTAAGCAGAATAGTATCTTATTTGAACCTTTTCTGTAGAAAAGCTGGATTTTTATTTGTGGAATGTAATGGATTTGTTTAATATGCTTACTCCATAAAGCTAATAGTATTTCAGTAGAAAGACGTGTGTTGGTCTTCAATAGAAATAAAACTTGGATATATGAGCTGCATTTGCTATAGGATACAGCTTCTTTGAAAACACATCAGCAGCTGGAAGAGAAATGTGAAAACACTGTGTACTAGTTTAAAGGGTGTGCAGGTGAAGCTGCCCGCAGAGGGAAGCCACATGCAAGACACACAGATCAGCTTTCCAAATTTTACTACTCCTGTCACATTCTCTTAATTTCAGTTAATTCATCTGTTCCAGTGTTTTATGTGTATTTTATACATTTATTTATTAGCTTGACTTACACTGCATTTTTCTGTGGAAAGACTAATACGCTAACATTTGAAACTGCTGTTACATTGATAAGGCCTAATTAAAACTCATGTGTTGAATTTTAATTTGATTAACTTGCAAATCTCTCATTTTCTGATCTACTGTTTATAACCTTTTTTTAATTTCAGTTTTGGAAAAGGTCAATTACGAATTTTTAAAAGCCAAGAGCATTTTAAGAATACGTAGAGAAAGACTTCAGCTGATTGAAAGTGACATAAACAAGGAAAAATGTAATGATACTTAAGTATGTGTCACACCCCATTAAATGCATAATGTGGTCTTCAGAACCCCTAAAGCCAAATAGTAGCTCAACTTGGAAATCATTATTGGAAGTGTCCATTTGATCTTTAAAAGTAATGATAATAATTTTGTAGGGTTTTTCTTTTTTTTGGGGGGGGTGGGGGGGGGGGGGGGGTGTTTCTGCTTTGTTGATACTGTCGAGGCAGATTAGTATCAACCTGCATAGTGCCTTTTTGCATATCTTTCACGAGACAATTAGACCACTAAATATTATTGAAAGGTACATTCATTACACTTCAAATGTATTAACTGGCACAACATAGCTTATTTTACTGTTGGGTTAAGCAGAAAACTTCTATTTCTGACAGAGAATGAGACCGCAGGAGATACTGGCAATTCAGTTGGCCTTTTCCCATAGCTGTCATTCATTTTGTTCTTCCTAAAAGCTAAGATTTAAGAGGGATTTTCTTTAATCTTCCTATATCAACCAGTGCATAATCTGTATATCATGGCATCACTTATATGATATAATTTTAAATTCTTGGAGGTAAAGAAGAGCTATAAACTACCTGTGAATTTGGTTTTGCCTGTCCTAACAGAAATCAGATGTCTACTGGATTTTGCTTGGCATCTTCAACTCCCATAAAAAGAAACTAGAAGTTGGGCATGTGGTTTGGACCACCGCAAATGTATAGCTTCTAGATTCCCTTTTTCATGCCCAACTTCTCCCATTTTTTCTCCAGGCTATCATGGCTCAGCTTCCCCAGGAGGAGAAGGCTAAGATTGCTGAGCAGGTAGAGATATTCCACCAAGAAAAGAGCAAACTGGATGCAGAGGTGGCCAAGTGGGATGACAGTGGTAATGACATCATCGTGTTGGCAAAGCAGATGTGCATGATTATGATGGAAATGACAGACTTTACTAGGTAAGGACGAAATAACCTGTGCTGAGGACTTCTTCAGGCATCCCACACCTTTCCTTTTTGTTGCAATTCATAGCCTATTGAGATGGTGCTGTGTTTTGGGGGATGCAAAGCTGGGTAACACACATCATACATAACGGGATGGGTTGTACTGTTCTCTTCACGTGACTGCTCTGGATATTTCTCCAAATGGGATTAATCACATGAAGTTTTCATCCTATTTGCAAATGTTTTATTTGCAGATCTTCTTGAATTTCAGACCTTACAGACGCTCCACTGACATTTCATTTAGTATCCATCTAAATGCATGTGCCTCTGAACTTTCAACATTCCAACACAATTTGTGTCAATCAAAAATAATGGCAAAAATATTTATATGATTTTGAGCACTGAACTCCTTTCCAAAAAAATCCCAAATGAAGTGAAACTGTTTTGATCTAATACTTTATTGGAGCCTGTCAGCAATCTTTTTTTTTTTTTTTTTTTGCTTTCATTTCTTTTTTCTATTGATGTCTTGTTCTTTTCTAATTGCAAAGCATCAAAAGGCCACTTGTTAATGATATCATATAAACAGAATTATTTTGTTTAAATATAGTCAATAGCTAATCACACCAGGGAGAACGTTTTACAAGATTATTTGAATTACAGATCACCATAATAAATGAAAGGGTTTTCAGTGTTTATTTTTAATGGGAGTTCAAAAGTTTAAATGGTATTTATCAAAATGTGATTAGATGAAGCTGGACAAAAAAAAATCATTGTGTTTTTATTCAGAATTAAAATAAGACATCCATTTATTCGTGTTACTGAGATGCTCAAATAGATTTCTTAATCTCCAGCTGATCACATGCCTTGTGTCTGGAGCCTTCAACCCATTTTGGAGGAGGCAGCCTCTGCATTGACAATATAAGGTTCACACATACCTTAGATAGATAGATGGGGGTGTATAAAAATACCATTAATTTGCAAATAATTTGATTATTTGTACTTGCATAGTTAATTGGTAATAGGCAACAGCAAACATTTTCATCCCTTTTATATTTAATAAAAAAAGAAAGTTTGCATACTTTAATACATTACTACTACTTTCCAAGTAATTATTCTCTCAGCTTATTTGTTTTTCTCTCAGTTTGTGCTTGCACAACTACTCCTTCTGCAGTAGGCTCACCACTCCTGTATACCAAATGGCAGTGTAGAACCTCCTGTGAAGGGTGATATTTTAGAGGATTCTTAATTACTTTTGTATTTGTGCTGTATTTGGGTCTCTAATCCTTCTGCCCCAAAACAGAGTGAAAAACTCCCCAAAGAGTACCATCGCTTCACAGGAGGAAGAAATAATGTTCTAAAGCAAGAGCCTAGAATATGAATGCTTTCTGCAACCTCCCGGACAACCTTTGATACATTGAACATCAAATTGAAAGTTTTGTAATTACATTTTCTGCCATCAAAAGAACACAACTAATATGAGAATGAGAGAAAACTACTGTCACATCTGAAGTAAATTAAAAATAAAAAAAAAAAAATCAAAGTGCCTCTCTGTTTGCATCAGATTCAATAAAAACTTGTTTAATATATTCCATTAGAACAGAACAAAACCTTTTACATCTTTTTGGTTGACTGTGGCCTCAGCAGTCTTAAAATAGAATAATTTTGCAAATGCATGGAGTTTGTGAGAGTCAGATCTTTTGATGTACTTAAGGTAGAAGCATATGAGGTCACTATGAAGGATTTTTGCTACAGTTTAAGTTCAACAGAAGTGGGATACTTGAGTTTTTTCTATATCTGCTTAAGGTAGAAATGAAAGTATGGAAAGAAGATAAAATGGAAATACGTTTCAGTATATTATTCTTGGCATGATAGATGAAAAAATTGCAAACATAATAGTATGTTGTGCTTAGAAAAAATGCCTTCAGTTTTAGTTTAAAAAAAACCTAAGTTTGATTATATTATGATTTTGCATCAGTCTAGTCTGAAGCTATATTTTCTACATAGTATTAAAAAAAAAAAAAAAAAAAAAAAAAAGGAAAATCAGCTTACCATTCTCAGGAGCAGCACCAAATTAATTGTTGCCACAGGATTAAAGTTTTGGGTCTGAAGCAAACACAGAAAAGTCTGCAGGGACTTTTTACCTTTTGTCTATATACATTTTGGTAACTTCAATGACTAAAACCAGAATTTTGTGCATCATCTTAAAAATATAGTGAAAGATCAGTCTTAAAGCTAATTATACATGTTTTAAGAGTAACATTTAAAGCTTACCATTCTCAGGAGCAGCACCAAATTAATTGTTGCCACAGGATTAAAGTTTTGGGTCTGAAGCAAACACAGAAAAGTCTGCAGGGACTTTTTACCTTTTGTCTATATACATTTTGGTAACTTCAATGACTAAAACCAGAATTTTGTGCATCATCTTAAAAATATAGTGAAAGATCAGTCTTAAAGCTAATTATACATGTTTTAAGAGTAACATTTAAGTGTAACGTAAGTATTATGCTTCATGTGTCTTTGTTTTCTGACAAAAATCTACTAAAAATGTTATTTCTAAAATGTGACACTCTTGCTCTAAGCATGACAGGCTTAACATTTAGCGCTGGTTTGAGAATAACATCATTTGGAAATAGTTGTGTATTCCAGAAAGAATGTTGCTCAATGAGCACTTAAAAATGCATATACTATTAAGTATAGCTCATGTGCTTGAAGGCGCCATCAGACTAAATTACTAGCAAGGCGTTTTGTAGGAGAGAAGAAATATAGCAGACCGATTTCTTAAACAAGCTATACTATGAAGTAGATAAAAGGTAAAATTGTAATTAATTAAGAAGTCATTTGTGTTACTATTTTAAAATCAAACAGCATCACTAAAACTGTTGCCTCTCATGCTTTGTTTAGATTGCGCATAACTGTATTGTATTTCACAGAGGTAAAGGCCCCCTGAAGAATACATCCGATGTCATTAATGCGGCCAAGAAGATTGCAGAGGCAGGATCAAGGATGGACAAATTGGCACGGGCGGTAGCTGATCAGGTAACAACAAAACTGAGCAGAAATATGATGCAACCCCTACCAATGAGGTGCCTTTGCAGGAAAAGTTTATCTTTACTTGGCAGAAAATGACCTGTTGAAAGTCACTGCCTGGATACGGATCTGCCCATTGAATAGAAGTTGTTTCTTTTTATACCAGCCAGCTTGGGGTTTGCAGTACAGGAAAGTCATAAATGAGGCTCTCTAAACCTCAGAAATGCCTGAAGTGTTCCACAGCTTCGCTTCTGGACCCAGGTGATTGTATTAGAATTAGACTGATCTATCTGCTGTCATGAAAGCAATAGAGACTTGGATGCTCTGTTACCCTTGCCATATGCCTAGAAATCCTTATTTTCTTTTCAGCTCGTTCTCCCAGCAATTTCCCTTGACATGGTACTTTTCTTTTTCAAGATTCCCTGACTCCCTTTCTTCTGCTTTGCATCAGGGTATTGTGCTTTCACCTTACAGCCCTCCACTTCATGTTCTAGGGTCTGTCTCCTCAGTCCCACTACCAAATGCATGTCACGTCTGGAAAGATAAACTAGCTATATTCAGCCCCTTTCAGGTTGCATTATCTATCCATCTGGAGAGCAAAAGGAAGCATCATATTAAAAATCAAGAGCCAAATTTCAAATCAAGGTCCCAGGTAGTTAAATTTAGATTTAGGCAAATTAAATTTGACTATTTTTTCCCTCATAAACTTCCTATAATTTCTTTCCTTTCGTTGTCGTCAGGAGAAATTTTGCTGGAAGTGGGAACCGATAACTTCCTTGCCTCTAGTGTTTCTCTTCAAAATAAGTGTTTCTTTTTCTTCTTCAAATAAGCATGTAATAGCGTGTAACACATCCTGCTAGGGAATATGGACCAGAGGGGCAAGAAACCTGAAACTGCCCATTTTCCTATAACCTCAGAATTTGGGGGTTAGGTTTTCTTCATTATCAGAAAACATTTTTCCTGCAGTTAACCCATTCCAATCCTTCAAATGTAGCATCAGTTCATTTTAGCATAAGAAAGAAGAAAACCATCTGTCAGCTGATGAAATTCCTAGTCTACAATATTTGCAGAGGTGGAACATTTTAAAGAAAGAAACACAAAGAGACTTGCTATGCTTAGAGTGCATTGGCTCGAGTTACATTTTAAATTTCAGAAGACCGTAACATTCGCACTTTAATAATAAACAGTAAAATCGCTATGAGAATGAAGTGTTTGTTTTAATGTTTGCGCCTTAATGATACTTTACAGAACTTTGGAGACACTCATGCAATATAAACTTTTTATGGACAGTTGCATTTTTAATTACTGTTCCAATGAGAGAGATCTTACATTTTCATTTGCTCCAAGGTACTTGTATTTAAAGCCTTGTCAGCTCTCTGGAAGTATTGCTTTAAAGTTCATTTCTTTCAGTTCATAGACTTCAAGCGTAGAGTAAATATTTCTGTATTAAATTGTCACCGGTAGGGAGAAGAGGTCTCTTAGGGATTCATGCCTGAAAGATGTGGCAACTGTCTGAGAAAGAGCAGCATTATAGCATTGCCATAAGTATAGAGCAGATTAAAACTAACAGCCACAATGAACCTCCAGCTTTCTTTATTGTTAGTTTTAAAGGGAGAGAAAAAACCTAAGTGACTGCTTTCGGCGTTATGGATGACAGTACATGCGACTACTTCACCGCAAACATGCTCCTCGCCAGCATTAGCTGTCGGGGTAGAGCAGTCACCTCAAGTCAGAGGTTGGGATGCTGTTGACTTATGTGTGTCTAATTCTATCAGGTTTTGTTGAAGCGCTCTGATAATATTTTAAAAAAATTGAGCATAAATTCTGTCAGATGTTAAAAAGACATATTCGGAATCTTTGTTCCCCAAGCTATACAATCAAAGAACATTGTCAGTCAGACTTTGTTCAGTAGCCCCAAAGAGTATTTATTGGAGACATGCTGTTAGCAATGGACCCTTTTAGCAATGTTTCATCAGAGTGAATTACTGAGGTCTGTTCTCTTGAGGCAAGACTTTGAATATTAACTACAAGAGTGTTGTTTATTATGCTGTTGATATTGTGGGGGATGATGCAGTTTCTATTAAGAGTCCCAAAGACTATGAATAAATTGTACTTGGGCCTTTTCTAGTTTTATTGATTATAAAACCTTCACTGAGTTTACCACGTTTGATCTAATGTAATTTGTATTAAAACATATATGAGATGCACAGCATCCAGAATGGTACAGGACTGTAGATAACCTTCCCTCTGGTATGAAGAGGTATCCCTTAGACATGCAGAGGGACCAACTTACCTCATTGGGGGTTTGAGAAGGGCTTCAATGCTGATGTCATCTGCTGCGAGGTTCTGTAATATGTCACTTACACTTTAGTAAATAATTTCATTCTGGCACAGTTTAAGGTATTTATGCATTAAGAGAAAGCTTGCCAAACCTGTCAATACCCAGCCCAAGCAGCCTCACCTCTGCCTCTCGAGTCCTTAGCGTGTCAGTATGGGGCCTGGCTTCTGCCAAGTCTGAAGCAGAGCTGTGTCCTCTGAAGGTCTGCACAGATGCCAGGGAAGCTGGCAAGACAGTCAAGAGTTGGCATTGGAGTGAATGTAATCAGTCAGCAATGGGTTTATCTGGACTTCAGCTGGTCCGTGTTGTATCTTAACCTGGACACCCAGCAGGCAACCTGGAGCATCAGGTCAAACTTGCTCTTTTGGCTGCTAAATTGATTCTTCTGTTCTGTACAAACTGATATCATAAGTGAACCTCCCCCACAAACACAGCAATCATTTTTTTCATTGTCTTACGCTAGCGGCTGACAGAGAGGTTTCTTGTTTTTACAAAAAGGTATAGAGCATCTCCAGGTTACCATTCATAAGTCTTGAGTTAAATGAAAGGTGGAGTTTGAACATTTACATTTCATCAAGTATCTCATGTAAAGATGAAGTGAAATGGATTGACCTCACGCACGTGTATTGCCACTCTCTGCTCTGATTCCTTCTCTATAATCATATAAACTCAGCTACATCTAATGAAATATTTCTTTTGTCTGCAGTGCCCAGACTCAGCCTGCAAACAGGATCTGCTAGCCTACCTGCAGCGCATTGCCCTCTACTGCCACCAACTCAATATCTGCAGCAAAGTGAAGGCAGAAGTTCAGAACCTGGGAGGAGAACTTATTGTATCAGGGGTAAGCTGGTATTTGTATTTAGCCACTTATGTTTCCCATGTAGCACTTGAAAGGGAGCATTTTTGATGGCAATAATGTACAGAACAAAAAAACAGCGATTCATAAGCAAACTTAAAAATGTTATCGCCATTATTCCAGATGTTACAATAACTTGAGTAGAGCAATTTGATTTTCCAAGTATGCTTTGTTTATACTAACCTTGTTAAAATCTTCATCCTTCCAAAAGAAAAGTAATTTCATAGTCTAGAAAGGCATTGCTAAGCTGTGAATATTATAATTATTTGGAGCTTTTGTATATTTGCTCATTATAAATCTTCTTTCCTTTGTTAGTACTGTTAATTTCCTTCCTCTGTGCAGAAGCCAGCTCTGGATGAAGTGCATATTGTTAAGATGTTGATGACTAATGGGATTTCATTCACTCAGGTTCCAATGCACACTAGGTTTAGCAAAAACTCTGGAAGGCCAGCAAAATATTTTAATTTTTGATGCATGTGCTGTTTTCAAATACTATTGGCAAGCACAATGATAATATACTCTAAATCCTGTCCAGTTATTTCAGTTATTTTCAATGAACACTGCAAACTTTTTACACACGATCTTTTTTAGAAATAAAGACAGGAATGTGCAGCAGCAGTAATATTATAAACAATGAGTTGTCCACATTTTTAAACAATTTTTTTTCTTTCGTTCTCCTAATGTTGGACTCTATGCCTCTGGGAGATTACTAGAACCAAGCAGTAGCAATTGCTGCTCTTCATGATTTTCTTTTGTTCTTTTAACTAATCACCCTAGTATTAGTCCCCCATAACACCTTTGTTATCTCCTAAGTCAAATGCAGACCATATGTATGTAAATGCGTAATATGTTTCACTCTGGTGAGTGTGTTTTCAAAATAATGGTGATTTGTCAGCCCCAAGATACTTGAAACAAGATTGTTTTCAAAGCACCCTTTCATTGTTTAAGCCCAATCAAGTACGAAGATTGTTAGGACAACTAACTTGTGCCCTTCATTTCATCCATAAGATTCCCCAGTGAAATCACTGGCCTTCCTCAAACATACCGGAAGTCAGAGCAAACGTTCTCAGCTACACAACATTTTGATTTTTTGCAAAGCACTATAGAAGGTCTTAAACATTTGGCCAGGCTTTCTTGGATCAAACATTCTGAAGTCATATATGCAATCCTAAAAGGAGCTGCTTAAATGTTCCTGTGTCTGTCTGGCAATTGGTCTTCACTTCTTGACGTATGTACATATGTAATTTTAATACCTTGATCTTCCCACAGCAATGAAAAGATCCTCTTCCATTTTCCTGATATTAATGGAGTGATCTGTCCTTGTATCGCTGACAGCTATGCTGCATAGTAAACGCTATGATCTTTTCTTACCTACTGCCATCTGGGTCCAGCTTTCATACCCATTGAGTTGTCATATTCACCTATCTATAACAATTACCCAAATCAGTGCTTCTACCAGCTTGGCTTTTGTGGTTGTGTGTGTTTCCTTTTCAAGTCTCTTTATTCAGTGTATGTGGATGCTGAATAAGCCATTGTGAATCTCTAGCATCTATTCGTTACTGGAACATCCCCATCCGTTGTGAAATTGAAGTGGCCGAACTGCTTGACTTCATCATTTCTAGTCTGGCATTGTTGGCATCTGCTGCTTACCAGGCTTCATCACCATTGTGTTTCTGTTTGGTTGGGTTTTCACAGTTAGTTGCAGACAAAGGCAAAACTAGCTTCAACCACAGAAATTACTTGGGCCTGTTCCAAAGACTCAGTAGTACCGACATACAGAAAATTTTAAGATTGCCCAGCTTGTTGCTTCTGCTGTTGCTCTGAACAGGAGGTGATATAGAGAGTTGAACTCCTCTGCATCCCTTTTTGAGAGCATTATCTTGTTATCTGGTATAACACAGTTAGGACAGTGCTTTCCTGATAGTGTTTTCCAAGCTGTTCATCTTCAAGGTACTGGGTACTGTATGCTCCTTTGCTATCCAGAGATCTGGTATCCAAGTGCACATCTACATCTGCTTGTCTACTTGCTGCTTCTGCTTCCATCTTCTTCTTCATTTTCTCTTGGATAGCCAATTACAAATAAACAGTATTTTATTTACATTGAAATGAAATACCATTATTTGGCAACTTGCATACAGTACGATGTTAGAATTGCAATAGAAATCCAGAATTCAAGCTTCCCAACCTATGACTACAGAAGTAAGTTTATGTGAATGCACTATATTTAAGTGTTTTGATGTGAATATCAAGCACCATATTATTACAATATTATAATTTACTACTGTGTTTACAAAGAACTGCAATATAATTCAGATTGATCCAAAAGATGAGTTATGAATCAGAACTACTATGGGGAGTACAGTCTCTTCTTCAATTTTTGCATTATTAAGAATATTAATCAATATTTATAAATGAAATGAATGTATGCATATGTATGTATGACTCTATGTGTGGGCGTATGTATATTTATGTAAGAAAGAAAGAGACATAAAACCAATTAAAACCTAAAAGACAGATGAAAGCTACCACACAGTTCTTATAGTTCTGTTAGCAAAAAAATGTGTTGCAACAACTTCAAAAATACTGTGTACATAACATATAACGTGCTATATATCTTTTGGTGAAACTTCTTTTTTTTCTCACAAGATTCAGTAGTTCAGTATGGTTTATCTCTGAAAATAAGCATAAAGCTGATCTTGTTTGCTTTACACTCTATAGATTAATATGATACTAGCATAATATATGAAGGGGTTGGTTTTGGCATCATTGACTTTGCTGCAAAAAGAAAAAACAGATCAAAAAGCAAGCAAATGTCACACTCCTGAAGTGTAAATTATTGCAGTAAAGGAAAGAACCCAATGTTGGCTTTCCCTTTCGTTCTTCCATTCCTGTTGCCCCAGCTCTTTCTTTCCTTTGATCTTTCCCATCAAATTCCCCGTATGCAGATAGCAAAATTATTTTCATCAGAGAAGTAAGATCTGGCAATTGAGTTACCATACATCAGCCTAACCTCATTGATATCAGCGGAACAAGGCCAATTTAGACTACCCCTTGACTTGGCCCTTTATGTTGCAAGGTGAGACTCTTAATTCTTGATTCCAACTGAGTTTTGAAAAGTAAAATAAGGAAAAACTATGTGATAACTGTGAGGAGCCTTGTAACTTGAAGATTATAGGGAAGAAATTAAAGAAAAGGGGTGAGGAGGAAGCTAGATAAAAGCAAAAAGGAATTAGTATTAAAAAAATGCAAAAGTTTTAAAAAATATTTCTAATGCGTGTAGATGATACCCTTGTTCCTCATAAAAATCTCTTTGACTTTGGTTCATAAACAGATATATGTTTCTATAATATTAAGTTTGAATATTCGATTTCTAATTCCCCACTAAGAATAAATAACCTCCTTTAATAAAATCACAGACTGAAAGCACTTCAAAATAATTTTCTTTGTCTCTTGCCATAGTTTATTTAATGTAATGTATATTTATTTCATAATCAGTTCCACCATTGTATAGGAATGAATCCTCTGAGGTGCTGAACATATGCTACTCTTGGTGAAGTAAATACCATTTACATATACTTAGCTTATGCCAATAGATAGCCTTTTTGTGATAGCTACTTTTGTCAAATAGAGTCCGGGTTTAACCATGATGTTTGTTATTTGGATAAAAATTCAGAGTTTTTCTAACTCCAGGGCTGCTTTATTTTAGTGTTCTTGTTGGACTCTTGTTAGCTAGACTATTATAATAAAACAGATCTATACATTCATTTCTTACCCTAGGATAAATATCCATTTGTTCTGTTTACTGCTGCTCTGAAGCTGATCAGCTCATTTACCTACTCTCCATTTAGGCTATGAGTTTGCATTTTCAAAAATGCTTGTTTATGTTAGTAGCTTTGCTACAGCTTTTCCTGCAGGATTATACCGAACAGAATCTAAGAAATTCCCTTATCCAAGGCAGCCCCCTATCGTTTTCACGTTTGATTTAGAACTCTGCAGATATAATCAGCTGTACTATCAGAAAATTTTCCCAGAGTCTTAAACTTCTGAGCCAGATAGATATGCAGTGTCATACAGAGTAACAGCCATGTACCTTTGAACACTGTCCAAAAATATGGAATCAATAGCCAAAGCACGCTCCAAACATACTTTAGCTGGGTCCAATTTCCAATTACTTTCAAAGGCCCATTTGTCTTCCATAATAGGCTCCGCTACGATGCTAAAAGAAGGATTCTCATAACATTTTGAAGATACAAGACAGTTTAGTTAAGATTGGGACTTTATCTAGGAGCTCTTGCTTGGTGAATTTAAGTGAGGGCTTTGGGCCAAAAAGGCAAAAAGGGCTGGAGCCACCCCATTGAACTTTGGGTAGGACATTATGAATATCCCCCTAACACCTGGACTGGAAGGTTGGAGACATAAAAATATTAACAGACATGGGTTACACTACAAAATAACTGTCTGTATGTTTATTCCTGATCAGTGACAAGAATAAGGTAACTGGAAATAGCTAGTCCTTGTCAAAAAAAGAACGTGCCTCATTATTTATCACAGAATAACAGTGTGCATCCAGCAGGTACCTCAGGTGAGCTGGCAAAAAATTTCTCTATCAATTCTGCCTATGGATCTTACATCTACCAAACCAGAATAGTTTAAAGTAATTTTTTCTTTTTTCATTTAAGGCTTAATCACCCTAAACTCCCTTGCGCTGTAAAAGCAAGTTGGTATACATAAGGGCAGTGGAGGATCAAGTTGATACTTATGAATTCTATAGATTTAAAGAAAAGTCAGGTAATTTGAAGTTCACCTGCTATTAAAAGCAAGTAAGGCCATCTTTCTTTGAAATTTGGATTAGGAGCCTGTGCATAAGCAGTTGCTTAAGAGCCACTGATGTGGTATTTCATTTCCCTGCATCAGAAAGCCTTTCTGGGTTTTTCCTTTGTTTGTTTGTTTTCAAGTAGGCAATCAGAGAGAACCTTTGCATTTAA